TGGAGGGGCGGGGTCGGTGGGGAGGAGCCGCCCCGTCCTCCCCCCCCCTCCCCCGGGTCCCCCGCGGCCGAGATTTGGGGTCCCCGCGGGGGGGACGTTCACACACGGCTCCAGGAGGGGATCGGGAGCGGGGATCCCACTCTGGGATCTGTCACTGGGATCTGGAGCGGGGATCCCACTCTGGGATCTGTCACTGGGATCTGGAGCGGGGATCCCACTCTGGATCTGTCACTGGGATCTGGAGCGGGGATCCCACTCTGGGATCTGTCACTGGGATCTGGAGCGGGGATCCCACTCTGGGGTCCTGCACTGGGATCTGGAGCAGGGATCCCATACTGGGATCTGGCACTGGGATCTGGAGCGGGGATCCCATACTGGGATCTGTCACTGGGATCTGGAGCGGGGATCCCATACTGGGATCTGGCACTGGGATCTGGAGCAGGGATCCCATACTGGGATCTGGCACTGGGACCCCACATTGACATCCCCCATTGGAATCTGTCACTGGGATCTGGAGTGCGGATCCCACTCTGGGGTCCTGCACTGGGGTCTGGTATTGGGATCCCCCACTGGGATCTGGAGCAGGGATCCCCCACTGAGATCTGGCACTGGGATCTGGCACTGGGATCTCACCTGGGGATCCCACACTGGCGTTTGGCACAGGGATCTCATGTGGGGATCCTACCCAGGGATCTGTCACAGGGATCAGGGGCTCTCACAGGGTGGATCTCCTCTGGGAATCTTGTCCAAGGGATCTCGTGCAGGGATCTTTTACAGAGGATCTGGCACAGGGATGTGGCACTGGGATCCCACACAGGGATCTTGTCTGGAGGATCGGGCACAGGGATCCGCTGTGGGGAATCTCATACAGGGATCCCACATGAGGGATCTCCCATGGGGACCATGCCCAGGGGGGATCTGGCAAAGGGATCCAGCACAGGGATCTCGTGTGGAGAGGTGGCAGGGGGGTCTTGTCTGGGGGGATCTCCCGTGGGGGAAAATCCAGCTGGGAATCTCATAGAGGGGATCTCCCATGGGGATCTCGCACTGCGATCTCGTACAGGGATCTCCTGTGGGGGAAAATCAGATTGGGAATCTCATAGGGGGGATCTCCCATGGGGATCTCGCACTGGGATCTCGTACAGGGATCTCGTACAAGGAATGCTTCCCAGGGATCTCACCCAGGGATCTCACACGGAAATCTTGCCTGGGGGATCCCATAGAGGGATCTCAAAGATCTTGCACAGGGATCTCACCCAGCTCCAGGGATCCTCATTGCCCTGGGGACACTCCCTGGGCCTTTGGGGATTTTACGGCCTGGTCATCATCATCATCACCATCATTGACATCGTCATCATCATCATCATCATCATCATCATCATCATCATTATTGACATCGTCATTGTTTTCATCGTCACCATTATCATCATCATCATCATCATCACATCATCATCATCATCATCATCATCATTATTGACATCGTCATTGTTTTCATCGTCACCATCATCATCATCATCATCATCATCATCACCATCATTGACATCGTCATCATCATCATCATCATCATCGACATCATCATTGTTTTCATCATCATTGTCACCATCATCGTCATCATCATCATCATCATCATCATTGACATCGTCATTATTGACATCGTCATTGTTTTCATCGTCACCATCATCATCATCATCATCATCATCACATCGTCATCATCATCATCATCATCATCATCATCATCATTATTGACATCGTCATTGTTTTCATCGTCACCATCATCATCATCATCATCATCATCATCATTATTGACATCGTCATTGTTTTCATCGTCACCATCGTCACCATCATCATCATCATCATCATTGACATCTTCATTGTTTTCATCATCATTGTCACCATCGTCATCATCATCATTGTCGTCATCATCGTCATCATCAATTTCGTCATCATCGTCATCGTCATCATCATCATCATTGTCATTGTAATTGTCATCATCTTCATCATTGTCAGTGTTGTCATTGTCATCATCATCTTCATCGTCATCATCATTGTCATGTCATTGTCGTCATTGTCATCTTCATCATCGTCATCATCATCATCATTGTAATTGTCATCATCTTCAACATCGTCAGTGACGACATCATCGTCATCGTCATCATTGTTATGAGTCAGCACCATCATCGTCATCAACTTTGTCACCATCGTCATCATCATCATCATCGTCATCATCTTCATCTTCATTGTCATCGTCTTCATCATCATCGTCATCTTCATCGTCATCGTCTTCATCGTCATGGCCATCCCTGTCCCCAGTGTCCCCCTCCAGAACCTCCTCGAGCCACCCCAGGACCTCCTCAGGTCCCGGCAGATCCTCCTCATCCTCCATGTCCAGCCACACGCTGCCGGCCTGGGGACACGGGGGTGACATGGGGGGACACGGGGGGGACACGGGGGGGACATGGGGGGACACTGGGGTGACATGGGGGGACACGGGGGGGACACGGGGGTGACATGGGGGG